GTGGACATATGGTGTACCAGTACTATTTTTTTAGAAGCAATTTTGTATGTTCTGCATTAAAATTACTTGTTCAAAATAACTCTAATTGTGCTCCATACATGTCGGCAATACCTGGCACTATGTCTTACTGCGTTAAACACTTCAAAAGTTATACATCAGAAGCAATTCTGGTGTTCTTTATTTAGTAGCAAAATAATTGTGTCTCGTAACTCCTTGAGTGATTAACTCAGTAACGTTGCTGAGCGATTTTTCCAGCGAAAAATTACGAATATAATGCATATTCGTATTCGCTCCTTAATTCTAGAAGCTAACGACTGCTTCACATTGTGGGTAGATAAATTTCGAGATCCTCTGGTTGTTAACACTACCAGTGGTATCAAAAATTGCTTTTTTCTGGTGAACTCAGAAAAGCAAGTCTATTTTTAATCTATAACTTTGAAAGTGCTCAGCCATGTTGGACATAGTACTGATGGTAGTACTACCAGCCATGGTCAAGGATCATAGTCAATTTAAGTTCATTGTATGACTTAAGAGTTACAAAACCTCATTTCTCTTGGATAACTAACAGAAGTGATAACTTTTTCAGCGATTCGTCCTGATTATCGTCTCAAACTTTCGATTTTCTGGTAATCGTTCAATCACCACAGGTGATCACTGTCCTTCACGCATACGGCGAGTTTGCCAAAAAGGATAAACACTTCTTCCTTCCTCTGAGAAGTGTTGCTTTAAGAATCATCAGACTTGTTGCAACAGGCACGAACAAAGCACTCTAACATCCGAGAGTTCCTGTATCTTGTTTGAAATGGAAATGATGTATCAAATGGATAACAATATTTCAACTGGATTCAACATCCATATCCTGAATGTTTTATAGTACTACGGAATCGTGGCCTCCATAAGATGTCCCAAGGTCACTAGAAGCAAGATACCAGCGACCGGATCGCGACCAGACACTGAAATATGGAAGTGACATATTATTTGGAAAGTTCTTCCTGACTTTCGCGTCACATGGTTGCTTGATGCTACACAAGTTTTCTTATTTCAGTACTGAAAATAAAAATGGATTGTTCCAAGATTAGTTTCACGCTGTTGTAATCAAATAGGGTTAATATACATGACTTTTGGAATCACATTTTTAAGATATTTTTCCCAGTTTTGACAGTAAGTTAGAAAGAGTAATGATGTAAACAGAGAACCAGCAAATTAATTTAGGTTAACCTGCTCTTCCACCGGACTCATAATTGTATGCGTCCTGACTATTAGCCATAAATGTAAATGTTATATATTGGGGTAATACTTTAATCTGGCGATTTGATCCTATGGCTATTATAGATGCAAGACGCCAATCTGAATATGTGAACACAAGAACACTATAAAAATACACTGTTTATATTTGGTATTGCTGGATAGACAATTATAAATTACAGTTATAAATTTGGATTCCTTTCGATGAACTAGAGGAATATCATCTTTGCAAACATTTTCGCTTACTATGATCGGTGTTTATAATGGCGATGTTAAGCCTAACATCAATCACTGTATTGTTTTATTCGTAGGAACGGCATGGTAGATGAACTGTCATTTCTCTAGTCATGATTCTATAAGCAAAATGTTTTCATCTTAAAGCTTTCATGGCATGTTCGGAGTAGTAGAACCGCTAGAACTTGTTGCTTGACAAAGAGCAGCCCTCCAACTTTTACTTAAGGCACGATTTCAGTAAAGTGTCGATTTTCAGAGCCCAGGCAATTTGCGTACGTTACGCGTACAGCTCATGTAAGGAACACGCTGTGCTTCGTAAATTAGGATTTCTTTGCTCTCTTTTCCTTAAACCTTGCGCTTTCACGCTCTAGATGACCCCGGACTTGACCATCACTTTTTAATGTCACATGTTGTTGGTTGTTCTGTAGATTTCTTCTCCGTTGCATAGGTATTTCGGTTCCTCCATGATCAAGTCCCTGGGAGAATTTCTGACTTGCCATTGTTGTGATAAGGTTTCTTTGCTACTTAAGTCTTCATACTTGCAGAAATGTTGATCTGTTTCGAAAAGATCAGGCGTTCATCATTTTCTGACGGATCACGGTCTTCGCCTTGTTTATTTTAGGGCGGTGGTAAAAGCGCGTAAGAGGTCAGCTTTTTACTCGAATTCTGGAAGTGCTGGATTCAATTTACACGGCTGGCAGTCGTTATCCTGACCACAAATTCCGTTGAGCAAGAAATTTACTACACATTGCTTCAAACCGAGGTTGGTTGGTGGACAGAGAGTCGAACTCCGAACCGAGAGGTCCGGGCGATCCCAGATCAGGGTTGCTTGCTTTTCTTTCTTACGAGGTTGATAAATAAGCACCATCCTGAAAAATGAGTGGAAAGGAAATTGGAGAGTATAGACTCTGTTTGTCACAGCTGCTATCGATTTTGCCTTTAAAAGGAAAAAAGCTCTTGTGACTGACGGCGTCAAAAAGTAGATCAACGTGACCACCACAGTTATGAAAGCACCACCACTACAGTTATGAAAGCAAGGGTGCTAAAATTCGGGTCATCATGCAAATGAAGGAAGACCGGCATTTCACCGGTTAAAATATTTCCCAATTTACTGACGTCTGGTTCAATGCTCTATTTCTTTGTTTAGAATTTTCTAGTAACAGGATTTTCACTACGTGCAGATCATCACACTCATTGTTAGTCATCAAGTAGGTAAATTTGAATAGGAGGCTTAACAGACTCTTTCGTTGGATAGCATATTCATAACTCTCGCCAATTCTGCATTACTACACCAGAATGGCATTGTTTTCCTGCAGTTTGTAGGTCAATGACTTTCTAGCGCCCAAGCAACGTGGGATAAATTCCAATGGAATTGAAATTTACGGTTAAAAAAATTTTCTTTAAATTCGAACCCGGTGCTATCTTCAGAGTTCGGAGCCCAGCACGTATCTTTGCTCCACCGGTCCTCAATTCTACAAGATCGAACTGAGATTCTGTACAGTTGCGTCAGGCGGAGAACCTGTTTTACCGATATTCCAGTTCGATATCTGGAAAGTGTCAGCCAGCTAATTGCACGCCATGAAAATACGGATGTGATTCTGTTATTTTGTTAAAAATTAAAGTTGAAACTTTTAAACCGAAGAGATGGCCATTATAAATTTTGATTTTTTTCTCAGTCTGTAAAATAATTTTTGCAGTGACTGAAATTGCAGTAGGTTATTCCTATTTTATCTTTCTGCGGAGCTATTTGCATAATGTTTGAGCATTTCAGATGAACCTAGCACACTGAAGTGTGTGTCTTCATCGTCTTCGTCTTCCTACAAAAGTGACTCTTTTAAAGACATTCAGAACTCTTTTCCCTCAACGTCTGTGCTTTCCACGTTGACCTTCCCGTCGTCGAACGGTAGTTCGTCGCCGGATTCAGCACGAATAGTAGCTGCTACGAGTCCGGCCTCAACGACTGAGGCGCCTGCACTGGCTATTGTGAATAAAGAGGAACGCACGCCATCGCCTGCATCGTCGTCCTCGGCGGGAAGCGTGTTTCGTTGCGAGTCTCGTGCAAGCTCCAGCAATGACGGCGAGATGTTCCGTGTCACTCAGTTGTTCGGACTTGACACACTGCAGGCAACTTATATGGATGTGGCCGTGCTGCGCTGCCTGTTCATGCGCCACTGGTCGGAGGAAGGCATCTTCTGGGGACTGAACTACTTTTGCAAACGGCTATCTGCCATTTACAGCAAAATGTCAGTGGTACATTTCTCCAGGAAGAGAAGTAACTCGGTTCCTCCGGCGAGATACATGAAGATCTCTCCGAGTGCACCTCAATCTAAAACCGATCTAGACATTTCGACAAATGAATGGAAATTGGTACCTTCTTGGGAACAGCTGAAGCCATCGCTTTTGCGAAAAAGCAGCCGACGTCCTTCTCGTCGTAATATTCCATTCTTCACAGGTTCGGCAGAAGATACCAGATCTATAGGGTCTGTATGTTTTGATATGTCCACTGTTGAACAAAACGCCGCTGCCATCATTATTTTTGAACGTTTCAGAAATCCATCGCTCTTTAACTCGCTTTAGTCATTAATTCGAGTTAACGTAAAAGAGCCGTTGTGACACTTAAATTTCAATTTTTGGAATAGTCAAGATGCTAAATCTACTCTTCACAATAAACTGTCTAATTTGCATTTACAGGTGAATGCATTGGTAGATGAAATTTTCACGTTGTTAATGATGCATTAAGGTGGTTATTTATAATCCAGGTCAACAAAATTAAGAACCATTTACCTGTGATAAATCTCACCTTAGGTCATTTGTTTATTTATTTATTTATTTGTTTATTCGTTCGCAATTTCATTAATTCACTCGCTCGTTTTATCTTTAGTTCATCCGTTTGCGTCGTTCTGTCGCTCGTTCCATTTTTTGTTCTCCCGCTCGTTCGTGCATTCATTCATTCTGATATTTGTTTTTCTTTTGATAATCTGTTCATTCGTATTTGCATGATGAAAATTAGAAGTAAGCGTGGTAATTATTTCGTCACTTGATTAAGCAGCTAGCTTCCTTTAAAATGGCTTAATTATCTATGGTGGAGAGAAAGTAAACGATGTCTGAAAATGAATTGTGGGGTTATGCCGTGACACACAAACCCAGAAGTTTGGGCATGCTAATTATTGCATCCGTATTCATGAACATTAAATAAGTATTGCAGTGATATGTCTGATTCTTTTTCTGTTTAAGAAGGCAAGGTCAAAATGAAATCTTTTAAGATTCCTCGTTAGCAATAAATGCGTCAGTGTCATTACAACGAGCTTTTGTTTATTTTTACAAAATTTATTTAAGGCAACCAGTTAAGACAAGTGCAGTGA